CTTTATCCTCCTCCTCCTCCTCTTCCTCTTCCTCCTCCTCCTCTTCCTCCTCCTCCTCCTCTTCCTCTTCCTCCTCCTCTTCCTCCTCTTCTTCCTCCTCCTCTTTCTCCTCTTCCTCCTCCTCTTCCTCCTCTTCCTCCTCTTCCTCCTCCTCCTCCTCCTCCTCCTCCTCCTTCTAATTTTAAGACGCAGAGCATGCTGGCATATAACTTTAATCCCAGCACTCTGGAGGCAGAGGCAGGTAGATCTGTATGAGTCTGAGTCCTGCCTGGTCTACATAGTGACACAAAACCCCCTCAAAAAAAAAAGATTAAGTTTTTAAAAACATAAAACAAAGCTGGGTGTGGTGCTGCAAACTGGTGTAGACCCAGTATTTAGAAGGTAAAAACAGGAGAGTCAGGAGTTCACGGCTAACCTTGTCTTTATATAAAGTTCTGAACCAGCTTAGGCTACTTGAGACTGTATCAGAAACAAAAATCCAAAGTAAATAAAGCTGGGCAACTGTGACAGTTATTTTTGTCAACTTGAAAGAAGCTAGAGTCATCTGGAAAGAGGAACCTGAATTAAGAAAATGTCTCCATCAGACTAGCCTGGAAGCAAAAGTCTCCTAAGTCAGACTAGCCTGGAAGCAAATCTGTTAGAGTATTTTCTTGGCAGATGATTGATACAGTAAAGCCTAGCCCACTGGGTTGGTGGTCCTGTACTCTATAAATAAGCTCAGCGGCCCGTGGGAGCAAGCCAGTACGTAGCATTATTCCCTGGTCTCGGCTTCAGTTTCTGACTCCAGACTCCTGCCTGGACTTCCCTTCATGATAGACTGTGATAGGGAAACATAAGGGGGAAAGAAAAAACCCTTTCCTCCCCAAGTAGCTTTCGGTCATGGTGTTTATCACAGAAACAGAAGCAAGCTAAGTCACTGTGCTTGCTGAGTGAGTTTGGTATGAGTATGTGTGTACACACACACACCAGACATACACACATACCATACACACATACACACCATACATACACACAACAACATGAAAGTAAACAGGGTCTGAAGAGATAGCTCAACAATTAAGAGCATTGGCTGTTCTCCCAGAAGACCCAGGTTCAATTCCCTGCATCCACCAGGCTGCTCACAACCACCTGCAACTCCAGCCTGATGTGTTTATAAAAAGATAGAGATAAAGAGAGTATGTATGTTCTGTGGATGTGTGTTGAGGTATGGGGAAAGGGGATGTCTCAGCTGGCCCATGCCAAGGCATCTCTTCCCCATGAGGGACCAGCCACATACCAGTGTAGTATAGAATAGAGTTTATTCAGGGCATGGGCACAGCCCGAGTGGATCTGATGTCCTTCTCTGGCCTCCATAGTCACCTGTATACAACTACAATACACAGACTGTATACACACGTGTGTGTGCGCACACAGACACACACACACAAATAAAAACACAATAAATCTTCAAAATATATAAATGCCTGGTGGTGGGCAGAAGCAGGTGGATCTTGAGTTCAAGGCCAGCCTGGTCCTGGAGGACAGCCAGGACTACAGAGAAACCTTGTCTTGAAAAGCAGAACAAAAACAAAAAGAAACAAACAAAAAAATCAATCAACCACTCAAGGAAACAACTAGAAGGGTCTTTTCTACTTTAAAGTCTGAACCATAAAGTGCAAGGGCCGAGTGAGACAAGTATCTGGCTCAGTTCATTTGAGAGACATTTGCCAAGCATGTGAAGAGAAGGAAGACACGGGAGAAAGGAAAACACTAGTTTTTGTTTTATTAGCCTTGTATCGGTCCCTTGAAGGAGGCATCTCAACCTAAAAGCATGCCTGAAGATACCTTTTTCTTGTCCTTTATTGTTGACAATGGTCTCATTATATGACCCTGCTGGCCTGGAGCTTACTGTGCAGACCAAGCTAACCTTGAAATTCTAGATCCTCCTGCCTCTGCCTCCTGAGTGCTGATAATAAAGGTGTACCACCATGTCAGCTTCCGTGGATGTTTGTAAAGCAAAATCTAATTGTTCTGTTTGGGGTTTCCCTTGGCCTTTGAGACTGGCTCTAACTACGTAGCCCTGGCTGGCAACGTAGACCAGAATGGCTTAAACACAGATCTGCCTGTTTCTGCCTCCCAAGTGCTGGGATTTGAAGTGTGTGCCCCTACACCTGGCCTGCACTGATGTTCTTTGTCATCAATACCAAACACAATCTTGTACTATTTGCTGGTGTTTGTGAGACAGGAGGGAGAGACCACCTCTGAATCTCAAATCATTCGGTACCAGAGATCAAGGAGCCAATCTATATCTAGGAGAAAGGTGTGAGCCAGCTCATTAAATTCCATGTTGACGTCATCAGAACAGCCAGCTTATTTCAGACTATACAGTTCTACTGAGGTTGTGATCAGGCCTACAGAGCATGTCTGTCTAGGTGGGGCTGCTCCTGTTCTCTAAGGAGACAGCTGAACTGGTGAGGAACAAGCCACGGGGTTGTAGGAGGGCCTGAGTCAGAATACCAGCTGTCACACTCCAACCTGACAAGCTGCCTCACGAAGTCCAGTCTCATCATCTGGTAAACAGAGATGATCACAAACTCATCACAGGTGAGGCTGAAGCAAGATCACCTTGAGTATGTAGCCAGCCTGGGCTATAAACCCAATCAAAAACAAACAAACAAAAAAAACATATAAATACATCCTGGAATTGTGGAAAGGACAAGCTAATACAGGTAGACTGCTACACAGTGAGTTATTATATGCAGCTCCTGTTAACTAGCCTATGAAAACGCAAACCAGGCTTGTCTTTAAGTCCTTATGCCATTAAAATAAATTCCTTTTGTTTTGTGTTGTTTTGCTTTTGAGACAAAGTCTCAGCCCAAGCTGGTTTCCATCTTGGTGTGTAGCCAACTACACACTCCACCGCCTTCTGCCTCCATCTCCAGAGGGCTGGGATTAGGAGTGTGTGTTACCATACCCAGTAATGAAAAAGATTCTCTAAATGTACTAGTTCATTTCTAAATGCAATGTAGATTGCAAACAACACCTGGGAACCAACGGACAAGTCCTGAGTCAGACAGACAATGGACAGTTTGAGTCTGGCCAACAAGTTATGCTTCAATCTAGAGAGAGAAGGGGTTGTCTGACAGAGATGAACTTCATGGGGCTGAAAGGATAGCTCTCCAGTCAGGATCACATACTGCGCTGGAAGGGAGACCCAAGTTTGATTCCCAGCACCTGTGTTCAGTAGCTTACAACAGCTTTAATTCCAACCTCAGGATCCAATGCCCTTTCCTGGCCTCTGTGGGCACCCCAACACACAGATGTGTGTAAGTAAGAGAAAAAATGAAATTACAACAAAAGGTCTCATGTCTGAATTTATAGGAGAAAATGAAATCAAATCTTGCCCTTGGTGTTCTCATGGGCCACAGTAGGGCCACAGTTGAAGGTCTCTGTGATTGCAGAGCACAGGAAAATATCATTCTCCTTTGGCAAGCCTACCAAGGCCACTTGTTCCTCTGTCTGTACATGACTCAGAGAAGGTTGATATGTGTTCTAGGAACGGTGTGGATGGGTCACAGGTATGAGGGAAATAGCATAGAGTGCTTTCAAGACTTAGTCTGGTAAGAAGGCTCCATAAGAGAAGGTGCCTGTAGTCAAGTCTAAAGGCTTAAGTTCAAGCCCCAGAACCTACCATGATGGAAGGTGAGAACTGATTCCTGAAAGTTGTCCTCTGATCTCTACCAGTGCACCCTATCACCACCAACAACAAATAAAATGAATTTAAATAAAAGAATGTTTCAGAATTCACCAGCTGCGTGGATTAGGATGAAAACAATAGGCAAGGAGCGTAGATGACTAAGCACTCTCTCCCTAAGAATGATTCAATCTGTCACAGCCAGCTTCCCAGCTGGTACTGGGCTCTGGCATATGGTCTAGCCAGTGCCACCCTCCACCCCTTTCCAGAAGGTAATATGCAAATGCTACTGTGCTGCTCAGCTGGAAAAAGTAAGTTCTTTTTGTTTTTTGTTTGTTTTTCGAAGCAGGGTTTCTCTGTATAGCCCTGGCTGTCGTGGAACTCACTCGGTAGACCAGGCTGGCCTCGAACTCAGAAATCTGCCTGCCTCTGCCTCCCAAGTGCTGGGATTAAAGGCATGTGACCATCACTGCTTGGCTAAGTAAGTTCTTGAAATGTAATGCTTATGGGATTTCAGTGGATTAGTAGGCCACAGGTAGAAAAGTTCAGCAGACTCCCAGGCAGTGGTGGCGCACGCCTTTAGTCTCAGCGCTCGGGAGGTAGGGGCAAGCAGATTTCTGTGAGTTTGAGGACAGCCTGATCTACAGAATGAGTTCCAGAACAGCCAGGGATACAAAGAGAAACCCTGTCTCAAAAAAAAAAAAAAAAAGAAAGAAAGAAAAATTCAGTAAAGAAAATAAAATAAAAACAAAATATAGTAAGAAAACTGTGTGCACTAACCTGGTGATAGAAAAAAATAGCCAAGTGTTTTCAATTTTTCTTTTACATTTTGTGGTGTGTGTGTGTGTGTGTGTGTGTGTGTTTGTGTGTACACTCATGTGCATGGATGCTACAACATTTGTGTGGAGATCAGAGACAACTTGCAAGAGGTGGTTCTTTCCTTCCACCATGTGGATTACAGGGATTGAACTCAAGTTGAAGCCAACTTACCTGCTTAGAAAAAAAACTTTGAAACACGCAAAAAATATTTAAATTTTTAAAAACTTTTATGTGTATGAATGCTTTGCTTGTGTGAATGTCTGTGCACAAGTATGTAGTGTTCCAAGAGGCCTGAAGAGGTCATTGGATCCTCTAACACTGGAAACACAGATGGCTGTAAGCTGCCCCGTGGATGCTGGGGTCCTTGGCAGACCAAGCAGTGCTCTCAACCAGAGCCACCTCTCCAGCCCAGGAAGGAAGTTTTATGGCTCTGATAGCAGGAGTACTACTGACCAGCAAAAAGCAGCCAGAACAAAATCCACAAGAACCATAATCAATAGTGAATAAATACATTTCACAAAATGGAAGCTTAGTGAAAGCTAAGTAAATCAATTCTCTCTTTATAGTTAAAGCTTTTTAATCTCTGGCACATAACAGTGAAAGAATTCTTAGAAATTAGACAAAAGTGTTTGGTGGGTTTGAGTTGATGGGCCAGGCAAGTTTCTTCTCCCTGGCCTCACGGTCAAATGAGTCATAGATGGAGTCTTTGGTTATCGTCCTGCTCACGGGAGGGATTTCCGAAATGCCCACATAGTTTCTTTTGGCCATCCTTGAGCTTGTCGTGATGGTGTAGGCATTGCTGCGGTAACACTTCATTGAGGACATGCAGAAAGTCTCTTTCATCCCTCTCCGAAAATTGGCATTATAAATAGAGTATAGAGTGGGTTTTGAGGCTGAAGAGCTGAAGGATACCCATGTGACTGCCGTGAAGACAAGGGAGCTCTTCTTGTAGTCTTGCTCATGCGGATGCCAGAGCTGGGCCACATGGAAAGGCAGCCAGGAGAACAGGAACACCAGGTTCAAGAGGAGAAACATCTTGACCGTTTTCACCTTTGTCCTGGGGACAATGTTCATCGTCCTCCTCAGGGTCCGCCCGTCGGTGCCTATTCTCCAGATATACTTTATGACTTTCTGGTAAAACAGGATTATGAGGATGGAGGGAATCACAAAGCCCACCAGGAAGTGGATAACAGTATAGGCAGTTCCCTCCCAGGAGGGAGGGAAGAAGTAGTTACAGTGGCTGTCCCAGTTCGAGCCGTAGAAAAAGAAGACAGGCGTCACAAAGGCTGCATCCAAGATCCAGGAGGCTGCAATCATCTTCTTGGCCTTTTCTCGGGACACCTTGAAGCTCAGTGGGTAGACGATGGTGTAGAAGCGGTCTATGCAGATGGAGAGCAGCACATAGATCTGGACACCCGGGGTGAGATACTGGAAGTAGCGGACCACCTTGCACATGGCGCTACCAAGGGTCCACCTCCCGGTGGTGAACTGCAGCACAACAAAGGGTGTGCTGGCCACACTGATGAGAAGGTCAGCGCATGCCATGGAGACCACAAAGTAGTTGGTGGTGGACTGAGTCCTCCGGCTCCGGTGGATGACCAGACACACCAGGGAGTTGCCAAAGATAGAGAACAACCACAAAGCGCCGAAGAAGATGCTGGCTGTGGCCACCTCTCCAGGGTTCAGCTCGTACTGAAGGCTTGTCCTGTTGCTCATCCAGCTGTGCTGCTCATGCAGTTCCATCAGGCCATGGGGTAGCAGGGCCTCGGCTGCTTCCACGCAGCTGCGGTTCTGAAGGGGCACCAGCAGGGTAGCAGTCACCACAGATGGCTGGTCGTTCTCCATTCTGTGAGCAAAGACCATAGTCACTCTCTCCCTCTTAGTTCTAGATAAGACAAGAAGAACGAGGCCTCCTGTTAAGGCGGTGTCAAAGTAAGCTGCTTCCTAACAGGACACTCCTTGTCACAACAGTCACAGGGACATAGAGCACTATGTCTACTGCTGGGTTTCACTGAGCCATTCTCATTCACTGAGCCATGTGCTTTTCCACACTCACCCCCAGAGCATCCCTCTCCCCTCTCCTGCTAGCCTGTCTGCTCCCAGAAAATCCTGCTTCTACTTCATGTCTCTCTCACACCTACACACGTGTATACACACCTACACATGTGTATACACACCTACATACATGTATACACACCTACACACATGTATACACACCGACACACATGTATGTGCACCTACACACATGTATACACACCTACACACATGTATACACACCGACACACATGTATGTGCACCTACACACATGTATACACACCTACACACATGTATACACACCTACACACATGTATACACACCTACACACATATGCATACATCAATGATTTTATGTAACTATTCAAAATCTAAGCTCCAGAGATGAGAGGAAGCAAGTGAGAGTTGTCTGCCCGAGTTGTTTTGTTACTAGGTTCTCTGCTTCCATCCGCTTTCCTGTAAGTGGTATCATTTCATTCCTCGTGCTGTGTAAGAGTCTACTGTGGATGTGCGTGTGCATATGTGCGTGTGTGTGTGTGTGTGTGCTCATGTGCGTGCGCGTGACATTGTTCTTATTCATCCGCTGACAGACATCTACGCTGATTTCGTATCTTGGCTGTAGTGAGTTGTACTGCGGTAAAACGTGAGTGTGCAGGCATCTCTGTGACCGACTTAAAGTCCTTTGGGGTTATCACCCACTTACGAGTGGTAAAACCACTACCCACCTTATTTGACACTGAGCTTGGTGGTTCTTGTCAATATTAGGACTTGTGCACTGGTAAGAAAACATAACTTTTTTGATTATGTCACCCTGGCTGGCCTGGAACTTGATTCTCTACGCACTCAGTAGTTATGGATGTTACCATGCCCATATTTATGTAAGAAGTAAACAGAGGAGAGTAAGGAAGAGAGCTCTGATGTCCACACACAGATAAGTGCACATCACACACACAGACACATGGAATACTTTAGGAGGTATGGTTTGAAGGAGGCAACATAAGCTGTAACATCCACACACTACTTTAGCTTTTTATTTTTACATATATTTTATATGCTTGACTATTCTCTACCTGTATGTATATGCACTGTGTGCATACCTGCTGTCTTCAGCAGTCAGGTGTCAGATCCTTAGAACTGGAGTTACAGGCAGTTATAAATCATGACATGGATACTGGGGACCAAAGCTAGGGCATCTTCATTAACAACAAATGCTTCTAACCACTGAACCACCTCTTCAGCCCCTCCCTCCACTGTATTTTTGACACAGGGTCTTACACTTGCTAGCTAGCACCTCCTAAGGGTCCTCCTGTCTCTGCTCTGCACCATGAAGATAACCATTCAGCAGTGTCCAGCTTTTTAAATGGAGACCAAGTTAGGTTCTCATGCTTGCATGGTTAGTACTTTACTGACTGAGCCATCTTCCCAGCCCCCAAAGTATATGTTTTCTAAATGCTCTGCAATCAAACTGACCTAAGACTTTCCCATACTTGCAATGAGAGGTCATATTTTCTGCATTCGTGGGCGGAAATGCGGTAGTGGATTAGCCTGTCCAGAATGGCTGTAGTGCCCTGTTGATTCAGCACATAATCCTTTTATGTTTGTACGTTTTCCAAGTTTGTTTTGCTCTAGTTTAGCAATACACTAGAATTTCCCAGAGACCTCTAAATACACAGATGCCTGGGTGCTATCCCTCAGCCCTGGGATTCTAATTTAATGAGTCTGGAACACAGAGGGCATCAGGGTGTTTCAAGAGTTCCCCAGGTGACCCTAATGTTCAGCTGTGATTAAGAAACAGAACTTCAGATGGCTTTCCATGTTTTTGTCTTCCCTATTGAATTATGGGTCCTGGAGGAGGTGTTAGCCGTTTTCCGTGCTCCATGGAGTCTAACTGTAGTACTCTGCATTAGTAATTACTTACTGAGTATTAACTAAATTGCAGCATAAGGACAGAGAACTTAAACTCCTCCCACCCATGGCCCTGCTAGACTTCAGGGGGGTAGACAGAAGATCAAGGGTCCTCAGGGCGGGGTCACTGGAGACACAGGAATAGAGGGAAAGACAAGTGCTGAGAAGAGAGGGCAGGTGACACTGAAGTCACTCAGCTCCACTGCTACACTAAGGCAGAGGAAAGGAACCAAAGAGACCTCAGACAGGTCTACCCCTGAGCCTGCTACCTTCCCATCTGGAGAGCCAGAGTACAAGTTCTCAACCGCTTTTGTTACCTTGGAAATAAATGTCCTTCAGAGAACACTTCTGAAATAAAAATGGCTGTTTAATTAATAACTACATCTAGAGTTACCTAAACATAGTAATTTTAGAAGTGACAGATAAAAAAAGGTACAACGTATCTTTGTTGTTCTGCTAGGACATTCTCCACTCCCATGCTGGGGGCTGAACCTAGGCCCTAGTGTACACTGGGCAAATGAATGTTCTACACTGAGCTACCTACCCTGCGACATCCTTAAATGGATTCTGGAAAACAAAATAAACCCATGCTTGATTTTGCTATTACCATCTGAGTAGTGCCAGACTACTCAATATAACACTGTGAAGTTATATGTTAACTTGAATATTCCTGTCTACCTCAACAAATAATCCCAAAGGTTAGGTAGACACTTGCTGCCTTATAGGAAATTAACAAGTTCTGTGTCTAACCAGTTCACAATGTTTAAATGCTAGCTTTTTTTTTTTTTAAGATTTATTTATTATGTATACAACATTCTGCCTGCATGTACGCCTGTGGACCAGAAGAGGGCACCAGATCTCATTATAAATGGTTATGAGCCACCGTATGGAATTGCTAGGAATTGAACTCAGGACCTCCAGAAGTGCAGCCAGTGCTCTTAACCTCTGAGCCATCTCTCCAGGCCCCTAACATTTTTTTACTGCCTCTAAACCTGTGTTCCTTCAAATGCTCTTGGACACACCCTTATCTCAATGTCTCCTTCAATAGTAAGTGAATAAATCTTTCATGTTCATCATATTTGTGTAAGTTACACATTTAACTTTTTGTAACTCATACGTGGTGGAGAGAAAAGACTGGAAGCTAATGAGATGAAGAAAAGGACCACAAAGAATAGAGGGGTTGTTGGTCATGATAGTACACGTCCTTGCTTTGAGGCAAGTGGATCTCTATGAGATCAAGGCCAGCCAGAGCTGCATAGTAAGACCTTGTCAAAAGAAAAACAAAATACTGGAGGAGCACACTTGATGAACGTTGTGTCCTGTGGAGGGATGATCCCAGCTAAGCTGAGCAATGGCTAGTTAGTTAGCTTCTATATGCACACAACATCACACCTAGAAGGTTTAAAACTCTAGTAAGGGGTCTATAGAAAATGCTCAGTGGATAAAGTGCCAACCATATTTAGTATCAAGCAGGAGTTCTGGATCTTCAGAACCCACATAAAAGCTCAGTGGGCACAGGCTGTAACTCCAGCACTTAGGAGGCAGACACTGGGGATTCCCAGGACAAACTGGTCAGCTGGACTAAGCAAACCTGCTTCAGTGAGAAATCCTGTCTCAAAGAGTGACCAGAGGAAGACCTAATGCCAACCTCTGGCCTCTGTGTGCATGCACACGCACACACACAGACACACACACACACACACACACACAGACACACACACATGTGATACACATGCACATATACCACACACATACACATGCCATACATATACACATACATAAAAAATCCTAACAATTGATTTTTTTCTTCCTAAAAAATATATAAATTTTATTACAAATATTCGTAAACATTCTTACTTCATAGGAAATTCATTCTTATATCTGAGATTTATTTAAAAATTTTAATCTAGTAGTTCTTTTTAAAAAGAAAATCCAATCTTAGAGTTTTCAGAATGCTAGTTTTTACATACTTTAGTTTAAAATGTTTTCTATAGACTAGTAATATAGACTATGGGACCTACAGTTATTTGAGAAAATAGCAGTAATTCAATTACAGTGGTACTCTGACAGCATACATCACCCACAGTTAATGCTTCTTGTAGTCAAGGATGGCCTATGTGGAATCTCCTCAGCTAGATGCTATCACTAGCCTGTCTCACAAGGGAAAAGAGCCTCCCGTAGGTGAGGAGCTACTGACAGTTGATGGTGACTAAGGGAGGCAGTTGGCTTTCTGTGGGGTGAGATCCCTGGTAGGATGAACATGCTACTGCACGGCCCCAGACTATGCATATACAGGCAACACAAATTGGACTCAGTGAGTTATCTAATTAAAAAAAAAAAAGGTGGTACCCGAGACCATTCACAAAAGCCATTTATCCTAAACAAGTCCAGAACTATGAGATGAATGTTAATGTGATCACTACAGTACATGATACGTAATATGGTTTCAAAGACCTATGAATGGACAATATTTGTTTTTTAATCACTTGTGATAATCAAAACTAACTACCATGGATACTCTAAAATATCAGACAAGGTCTGCATGTTTGACATGATTTTAGGAGGCCAGGAAAGCTTGCATCCCTCCAGGCTCTCTCAGAACTACAACATCATTCTTTTAGAGTCAAGGTCGGCCACAGCCGTGGTATCACAAGCCTGTAATCCCAGCACTTAGGAGGACCACTGAGAGTGGAAGGCCAGCCTGGTCTATGTAGCAAGTTTCAGGCCAATAAACAAGTTTCAGACTCTGTCTCAAAGGACATAGAAAAGACCAGTGGCTGTCAGTGGGCACTCACCATGCAAGCCTGAGAAGCTGAGGTAGATTCTCAGAGCCCATATGAAGAGAGAAACAGCTCCTAGGAGTTGTCCTCTGACTTCCACATGTACACAATGGAATGCACACTCCCATACATCACACAATGATAAACATTTTTAAAGTTTAAAGACA